TTACTTATCTTATTTTGTCTGAGAACTAACATCCCGGTGTCCTGAACCTACAAATGCTGCGTTTGAAATAGATATGTTTTTTTTTTTTTAAAGAGATTTTGAAGATTATGACAACTGTGTTACATTTTCTTTGCTCGGGAGGTAGATGTGGGGAACCTTGAAAAACGAAGGCTGCAACCTCGCAAAAGACATGCTTTTATGCATGAAATAGCAATGCGCACGGAGTATTTTTTTGGATTAGAAAAAGCAATTTATTTAATAAAATTGTCCTAATCTCAAATTAACATGCTGTACAGAAACATGCAGAATTATTTGACAAGCTCAAAGAGCTTTCAGGATCCTCTCTCTGTCTGATTTTTGGTAGTAGTGATTTCATATTTAATTTCCCCGCATATATTGGTTTCCGAGATGACATCTACGAAAAGGGATCTCGCGGCATATTGCCGTTGCCAGTTTAGGAGTGTTCAGAGGAAATAGAAAGGATCTCTCTTTCTAAACAATCCTGGTTTATTTATTTTTTATGGGTCTGTTAGCAGATGTTGAAGTAGTTCAGGGCACAATGTGAACATGTGCTTTTCAATGGAGGTATGGTAAATAGCGAAGTACACAATGAAACAGGCAATTGAGGGGGGGTTGGACTAGGCCAGTGGAGCTTTTTTTGCTTTTTTGTGTGTGTGTTTGTGTGTGTAGTTGAATTTAGAATTCAAAGAAGTGCTTGATCTTTATATATAGAAATCCTCAGCGTGCAGAGTGGCAGCATGAGCCAGAAGAGAAAACCATGGCCCCATGTGGTGTGAAAAAAGGAACAGCAGTTTAAGTGCTGGGAAGTTGAAAGAGAACTAACCTTCTTGTTCTTGTAGTCAAGGAAAGTGGCTGTTTTGTGCTTTTGTATTGAAGCATAGCATATGTGCCTCAGTTTGACAAAAAGCCTCTTGAGTCAAAGCAACCCTAGTCCTGTGTGCTGATCCAAAGCGAAGGCCGTGATAATGAGGGACGGGCTCTCAGGAAGCAGTGAGTAGATAATACTGCATAAGTGGAGAATTCTGTGCGCTGTTTTCACCATTCTACTTAATGCAAGTCGCAGCCACGGTGAATCGTTTGCCATACAGCTGAAATGGGCCATTAGCTATCAGGGAAAATTGTCTTTGCTACTGTCAGCAGATGGAGCAAATATTTTACAAAGCAATTTTACATACGAAAAACATTCGCGTTGCTTGGTAATGATAGCTGTTTTACATGATGCTACCTTTTCTCAGAACATACTTTTCCAGCTTGTGAAAGGCAAAATTGGCACTTTTTAATTTTAAAATTTGCAGTTAACTGCCTGGGCTTTAAATCAGATTGCAAACTTTAAGTAGATAAGTGTATTCAGTGTTTCACTTCCAAAAACATTTCCATTTTTATAAACCTTTCAAATGGATTTGTTCAGTGCAGGAGATTGTGGTTCTGGCCAGCACATGTCTGTCTGAATGAGAAAAAATGTCCAATCAGTTTAATTTGCAAAATAGGAAATAAGGAAAGTTATTTGGACAGTCAGACAGCAGTCACTGGCCTCTTCCAGTATAACCGTGTTTGCTGGTGTCACTGAGAACATAAAATAAACTGGGCTGGACCAATTCATGCCGAGGCAGCTGGAATAAGTTATCATCACAGCTCTGCTGATCGCAGTATAAAGGATATCCTGTATAAACGGTATGAATTGTCATAGTGCCACTGAAGTGGCGTAAATTGCCACGGCTTCATTGACTTCTGCAGGGATGTGCCAGTTTGTATTGCTGAGGGTCTGTCTGCTGATTTTATTCTTCTCTGGCCCAGTCAGCTTTACTTATTCGGAGTTGCTTCCTTCTCTCTATTTGCTTGCAAGGTCTAAATAATTTCTTTTCAATCTGATTTTTAGCCAAAAAGCCCTAGGTCTTTCTCATGCATTCTGCTCTGCAGCCTCTTTCTGTCCCCAGGTCTTTCTTCCTATTTCTAAGTCTATTTCTTTTTTCTATTTAATTTACTTATCTTCTCAACAGGCTTTTCTTTGCGACTGATCTGTCTCAAGTAGATTTCCTACAAGTGCCTTCAACATATGCCACGTTTTGTCCTATTTTTTTGTTGCAACTGCCATTCTAAGAAAGCCTTTCAAAATTCAGCTTGCACAAGGGTAAGAAATTATTTTATATTTAGGGGGTGAAAAGGTATAATTTTTTTAATGCTTATTCATTTTTGTAAAAAGGTGCAAAACAGATTTGGATAGATTTAAAGATTTGTACACAATGTAAACAGCATTTGGGCTGCTCCTTTTTCACTGGTACCAAGAAACATCGGCTTTGGGGTTTTGAACAAATGCTCCCAGTTTCCATTGAGCCTGTGATTCTGAATAGTTTTGGGCCATAGCAAGAGATAAAACATTGGTAAGCTCTGCTGGAGATACCATCTGATTTAAATGAAATTAGCCCACTAAGCACTGATCCTTTTAAAAGATTTGACTTCATGAGTTAGTGTTGGATCCGGGCTTGAATTTGCCTTACTAAAATTCCCTATAATCAGGATTATTGCCTTTTCAGAGCCTACAGCTGCAAAAAACCTTCAACTAGAATTCCAGGTGCTGATCCCAGCTCCCTTCTGTGAACACCTTGCGTATCTAGGCATTGCTTGGTAAAAGCAGTTACGTTGGGTTTGATCTCACAAGAGCATTTTTCAGATTTTCTTGAATTAGTTATGTCTTTAAAAGCCCCTGTCTGCTTTCTGTAAGCCGACTGGCTTTGCTGCACACATCCTCCACAGTCAGCAAGTACTGAGGGTGCTCTGAACTGCAGGATGCTCCGGAGCTGGGCGCTGTGCATCCACATTGCCCCAACAGCCGTTCGAGTCCATCCTGCGGTCAAGTCCCCTTCAAATGCTGTTTGATCCTCGAAAACAACTCTGAAAGGAGATACAGCTGTTCTCGGTACTATTCTCCAGGGAGCTGGCACGGCTGCCCTCGTGTCCCTCAGAGTTGTTGCGATGGAAAATTGTGTCCCAGCTCATGTGCTCAGAGTGTAATTTTTACTTATACAAGGTTGGTCACAGCACTCTCAAATGCTTCTACACATCCAGCAGGGATTATTGGATTTTTTTCCCCCTGTAATTTACCAAAAGCTTTCAGGCAGCCATTGCATACCTCTCCTTTTGTTTGTTTTTATATTTCTGTTTAAATTGCACAATACCCAAAGTCATTAGTTCTCGGGGAGGAGACTCAGTGTGACAGAGGTACCGCTGAACGCACTGACAGGTGCAAACTGATTTGTAGGTCAGCAGCTCCCTGACATCCATCATGGCTCAGCTCCTCTTTCCAAAGCTGCGTTTATTTTCACTGTGCAACGAGCCACCTGATCTTCTGACTTCTTGGCTTAGCAATATTTCAGCACAAATACAAACCAAGACAAGGCCAGCTGATATTTGCTCACTGCGCTGTTGTTTTAGCAGCTGAGCTATCAAAAACCTAAATTCCTCCTTACAGATTGTAAGGAAACGAGCAGCGTAAGACCTGAATCTGGGTAAATTCTGAACTTGGATTTTTATGTGGTCCTTTGTTCTTGCCGTAAGGTTAAGGTCGTGCTGCTTAGGATATTGATATACTGGCAAAAACTATTTTAAAATATTTTTTCTGAGGTGTTTAAAGTCAACAACATACTTTTCTCCTTAGTATATGACAGGAGCCCACATAGCCCAGATCAGCATTATTATCTAAGCACCTCAACATTTGTAAAGGCATTTTTTTCTCAATTCCATGTGAGGCAGGGACAGCAGTTGTCCCCCTTTCATGGCTGGACAGGTGAGACAGAGACAGAGAGTCACTTTCCCAAAGTCTCCCAGGCTGACTGCATTCAGGAACAAGATATATTAGCTCTCCTCCACTCAAAGTCAATTCCCAGATCATTGGCACATCCTCCTCCTCCTCATTCTGGCAGATAAATCACAGTAAGCTGATTCAGAATTTGTATTTTTGGTTACGTCACATCCTGCACTTCATGACAAAGCCCATCTCTTCAAACTCACTGGTCTGAAAAAGATTTTTTTTTTCCCTATTCTTAGATGTTGGCTGTAAGGTTTTATCATGTTCCTCCAGAGCTCAAGATAATATAATTGTGGCTTAGGACATTGCCAGGGTTAGAGCATGGTTGGTCATCTTCTGAAGCACGGGATGCTGAAGAGAGGATGTAAAACAGGAGCAAAGAGACCCAGGGGAAGCAGGCGAATGCTTATGGAGCAGCAAGACAAGGAGCCTGAAGCAATAGAGTCAGGGTCCTTGCACTTTATATGCTTGTGTACTTCGGGGACATTTTTGAACAGTTAAAGCAAGGCAGCTAGTTTCTGTATTTAATGGGGTTGTTTTGTGTGTTTGGTAATACAGTAAAGAATTTGAAACTAGGAAAAAGCTGGTTTATCTCCTGTAGTATGGCTAATCAAATTCTACCAAAGATAGAGGCACAGATACACTTGGGAATTTCTGGTACAGATTGGAGAGTGTAAAAGGATATCTCCCATTTTAGAAACACTTCTGGTTAATTATTCCTCCTTTTTTTTATATATAGCTGAAGGGTGTTTGGGTTGATATAACAGCTTAAACAAAGAATCAGTAAAACTATTTCTGGCATATGTGACTATTTCAATATGCTCAGTTTCCAAATATAAACAATGTAGAAGTTATTGACTGCTGGTATCGATCCCCAAGCAGTTACCAAGTGCTTAGCATTTTCAGTTGCCAGATCAAATTATTGATATAAATTATAACGAAATAGATGCTATACTGGGGGAGGGGGGGGGATTGTCTTTCAGAGAAGAACAGTTTTCAGGAGAAGGGAAGAGTAGTAAGTAGAAAAATTAAAAAAGGCTTCCTGACTGTGGGTAAACAGTAACCACATTTTTTTTTTTTTTTTTGCCTGTTGGAGGCCTGGTTTTTAATCACCCCACAAGCAGTTTTCATTTCTGTAGTAAAATTGCTTGCGGTTCTATTTAATTTGTTTCTGCAGGAGCCAGCTTTGGTGAAGATCTCCCAGGAGCTGCCGGGCCTTTTAGCACAGCACGTACAGCCAGTCAATGAGAAACGATTCCCTACATGGGAAAAATTCCTCCAAACATTTCTTAGTCAAGGTAAATAAGACTGCAAAGTCGCTGTTAAGTGTTATATGGAGTAATTATACCATATTGTATGCCATATTCTTGTTCATCTTGGGCCCATTTAAATATTTATTTCCTTTTATTTCTCCATTATGTTTCAAATGTTCATTTACAAATGAATTATAGGCAACCATTCTATCATTCATCTGTCCTATCCAAGGATTTAACCTGTCTTAATCCTGGGTTACCTTTCTCACATGATTCTCAATCAGTAAGCACCAACTCCTTAACCCTGGGTTGCTGTACTGGAGGCTGTCACATTTGGCAAAAGGGTTCTAGGGAACGCTAGCACGTGAGTTTGCACGTAGGTGAATGTGAGAATATTTCATCTTTGTTACGTGTTGGTGAGGAAACACCTGCAAGGCTTGCTTTTCCTTCCCGTAGGACCAGGAAGGGAGCTATACGTAAACTCTGGATGCTACATACATACATTGCATCAAGTCAGATGTGCTCGTGACCTTTAACTGGCTTGGACGGGAGCTGAGTTCCTCCTGGTTGTTGCCTTCCAGGCAGGTGGTGTTGCTGCTGAGGATCAGTGACACCATGCTGCATTGTCCCTTCCAGCACTTGGCACAGCCTCCTGGTCAGACCGTAGCTGTGCTCTTTCTTGCCCTCCAGCCAAAGGAAGATGAACAAGTTCCAATCTGATAGTTGGATAGTTTTGTTCGCATGGTGCCGAGTCCTCAGCAGGGCTTCCCACGTTCAGCCCACTCGTGGCACCTTTGGATCAAAGCCGGCCAGTACCCAGCCGGCCCAGAGCTCAGAGTGAGACCAGGTTTGTCTGAAAGATGCAGGGTAGGTAAAACCCTTGTCTAATCACTGCAGGTCCGTGTATCTGCGAGTGGGCTTTGCACAGACGTGTTAATCCTATATTTGTATACCAAATTTTGGACAGAAAAGATGCAGTGTTTGTGGTTGGGTAGTAAATTTCTGTGATGGTTCTGCCCTGCCACCATTTTGTATTCTATAGAATGGATACATACATTCCATAAATTTCTTTACCTGTGGAAGAGACAAGGATTATTCAAAACTTTGAAAGGATTTTTTGGAAAAATAATACCAGTGAACATATACAGTACCAATTTTTATTACATATTAGTTTATCCTAACTGAGTGAGTTCTGGCATTATCTGCAGTAAGAAGACACATCCAGAATCCCAACCAGTTTTCTTTGTGATTTTCCTATGGACAACCTTGCTAGAAGTTGTCACCTACAATCCTTCCCATCCACGCACCAAGTTCCTCATGTGGATGGATACCAAAATGCAGACTACTTATCTCAGGCCATCATATGGATGGGAATCTCCAAGACGAGTTCACAGCAGGAGATCCCACTCCCCTGAGGTCCCAACATTGCATTTCACCACTGTTCTGCGCCTGGCATTTAGAGCTGCGTTGTAGGACAGCCCCAGATTCAGTCATACTAACCAAAAGTATATTTCTCCTGTCAGATAACACGATATATCCAGTTTGGAACTCCTTGCAAAGCTTCTGCAGCTCAAAAACCACTAGTTGAACTGGACGGTTCTCTACTAGTTGAGACATCTTCTTTCTCTTCCAAGAGATTCATGGGTTCTAGCTCTGCTGCTCACATTACATTTATTTACTCGCTGCATCTCCGTAGCAGTCCTCCCGGCGATGTCTGAGCACAACAGGAGCTGGATGGTTTCATTCTGTGCACTCTGAAGAGCATCGCATGTGAATTTGATTACTCGCTTAACAGCTAATTCATTTCTTACTAGGTGGTGTGATAGAAGCCTTCCCACTCGCAGAAAACGTCACCAACCTGACGGTGGATGTGCTGATAGAGCCAACAGGCGAGATAAAAATAGTGTCATCTGGAGACCAGCTCCACGCTGACGGTCCTTTGCAGTCATCTGGCACTACCATTCCACAGCGTTCTGTCCATCCAGCGGTTCTTAATTCACTCTGCTTAAAAATTGGAGAAACCTGTAAATCTAAAGGAGTGCTGGGTTATTTCTCTGTTGATTTTGTGACTTTCATCCATCCGCAAACGATGGAACAGCAGGTGAGCAGGGAAGGTACGTTACTTCGCGCTGTCCCCCTGAGATGAAGAAATGTCTGTTTTCCTACTTGATTCCAACAGATATCAGGAGAATGCTTTGCCCTTTTGATTCAACTTTATTTCTTAGTAGAGAGGCGTGTGGAGGGATGTAAAGCACACAGTTATTTTAACAATAGCATAGAATTGATCTGCCAGGTGGACATGAGGAACCTTTCTCATTAGCCTGAAGAGTAACAAGCCAGCAAAGCCTGGAGGGCTGCTTTCAAAGCTGAGTGAGAAGAAAATAATGTTTTAATTTCTTCTAAAGATTTTTTTCCTCTTAGTATCTAAATAATTTTCTAATTATCTAATTAATTTATTTAAATTATCTAAATATTTTTATCCTCTTAGATATTGATAATTTCTTACAGCAAACAGGATGGTAGTGATGAACAATTTGGTTTACATTGCAGTGGCTAATCTGAGTAGAGATTGGTAATGGAAAGCAGTCCAGTTATTTTATCATGTCTCAAGAAGTTCCAGCCCTGGGCTAGGAGTTACTGCCTCTTGGCTGGTACAGAACAGTGACTGTGGGGTATCGGTTCATTGCGAATGAAAAGGAAAACATGCTCATTCAAACCGCTTTTGCTCTCCGTTCGGCTTTTAGAATGTCTGAGAGCAGAATTTACTGCAGGAAAGATAGATGTGACCTTATACCATATAGAAAATTCTCCCCCGTATCAAAATGCAGACTGAGGTCAGCGTGTGGCACATGACAACGCGTACGATTAAAGATATCGGTGCGGGGATTGAAATGAACCTGCATTGCTTCCCTGCTGCAAGGGCCTGGGAGCAACAAATGCAGTGATTTTACATCATGTCATTCTTGAAATGTGCTCATGCGATAGCTGAAGCTGTTCATCCCCAGCATAAATGTTCCTGTGGAATTCCCTCTCTAGATCCTTCTCCTAAAGAGTCTTGCGCGGGCTCCTGAGTGTTTTTATCGGACCCCTTTTGGTCTGTCAAAGCTCTGAGGCTTCCTGCATGCCTGGTATCGAGTAGTGTGTGAGAGCAGAGCAGGACAAGACACCCTCCAGCTCCCATCCTGCAGCCGGAGGCCACACACTGCTTCCTGCTGCAGCACAAACGTGTATGCCATGAGCAGTTTGGTTGCTTTAGGGTATTTCAGAATATTTTAGCAGAAGATCAGCAGATCCGGGTACCGTGTGACACGTTGTGAAATTCAGTTTCACAACAGTGTCTGACAGTATATTGTACTTCCTCCAGCCCTGAAGCAGTGTGCTGTGTGACTTACCGCGGGCATAACGGAACGGAATGGAGGGACCTTAGATAATGCTTTCTCGTGGAATCCTGCCCAGGAGAGTCTGGTGTAGATGAGTGATGGGGTCTTTTTAAAAGGTAAAATCAGAACCGCTCAAGTGACCCTAGTCCTCCCTGCCAGTTTAGAAGCCTATCAGCAAAACCTCATAGTCAGCTGTATCAGAACTTTTGACAACAAGAAAAGTAATATAATAAATCAAGCCAGCAGAAGGGTGTTGACTCCAGAATCTGCTGTTGCCTGCGATGGATGGCAGGGAGGCAGAGGAGGGGTGGCCACACTCCCTTACAATACATAACTGAACTTTCAGATCTTACAAGCGATGGAGGATATTGTCCCAACAGACTCTGCTTTAAGTGCCAAGGAACAAATCAGTAAGGGAATGGATTTAAAGAAGGAATTTAATCCCTGGCATGAATATCGATGATCAGCCTTGATCATAGTTTGTAACAAAATATTAATCTTGCATGCTTCTATGCTAGAGGAATCGGGCATTTGTTTTATTTATAAGGTCAGATTCTTTGTCACAATGTCATTCTTTCACCATTTGGATACTTTGAAAACTAAATGAAGGACATGATGGAATAGTGTATTCTGTTTAAGCTTATGGAAGTGTTTTTATTTTTAAAAACAGCAAAGCCAGGCTTCCCATAGATTTGTGCCTTGAAGTTAAGTTCCCATGTGTTCTCCAGCTGAACTCTCTTTCTCATTATAAGGTTGCTAGTAAGGTCTCTCTCCTCTGTCCTTTAAGTATTTTAGGGATTTCATGGGAGTTCAACATATTTGATGGTTTTACTTTCTTGCAAATTTGGTTGATATTGGCCAACAGGATTGAATATTATGACAGATATACAAACCTAAAGCATAATGCACAACTAAAATAAAACAAAACAAAGTAAAATCTGGTTGAAGAGACTGAAGCTGTCAAGTGCTCTGGTAGTGGCCTTATGTTTGAAGACTAAAGAAAATGAGATAATTTTTAAAAAACATAAAATCCTAGTGATGAATAGTCTTGTTGAGCTTACTGGGTACAACTATACAGATTCAAAATTAGAATATGGATACAGATGCTAATTCAGGATTGCAGCATCATGTCTCAATGATTTCTTGTATTTCCAGTGCATCTCCTTGTTTTTCACTCTTTTGGCATCGTTTTCTTCTACGATCTTCGGTTAGGACCCTCACTGTTTAAGAAGTGCTTACCTGTAAGAGGAACATGTCTGTATTTAACGACATCGGCTATGTAGTGTGGGGGGACTCGGAGAAGATGGTGTGGCTGTACGCGCTCAAATCCATTTTGGTGTCTCTTTCTCACTGGCATCGGAAAAATCACAGCTTGTATGGTGTGAGAAAAAGCTTTAAACACAGGGCTGGTGTTTAAAACCAACAAGTTAGCATATGGTATCTATTGGCAAAAGCCGGCTCTTTGGCAGCGCTATGAGGATTATATTCCATTTTAAGATCAGAGAAAACTTAAAATCAGCCTTTTGGTAACTGATACTGCTGTAGCATGGCTCTGGTAAGCCACAGAATCGGAATAAATTGAGCTTTGAAATACAGAGAGTGGTTACATTTGACTCCCAAAATGTATTTACACAGGCATAGGAATTAGAACTGCGGATAAGCCATATTGGACAACTTCCATGTGAAGTTACTTTAAAAAGATTAAAGGATGACATTTGCACCCACTGAAGTCAACGGGAGTTTTGCCAATTGCTTCACTCAAGCCAGGCGCTCACCGAAACGCAGAAATGCTTCCTGGATTACTGAGGAGGTGACATTTCCTGGCATGAACAAGGACATAGTCAATCAGTCAGTGTTTCTTATGGCCTCTTATTGTTCCTGTCTGTTCTGTCTTGGTTTCCTTCCTTTGTTTCCAATTGATTCTACCTTAATATTTCCTACGTTTGTCAGCATGTACCACAATTTTAACATTATTTAGGCACAGGTTTTAAAATTTAACTAGATGTAGAGGCAATTAATGATGCCATCTGTCTTGTGAGAGAGAGATTACACAAAAGATTGTGTTCCTGAAAGCACTATTTTTTGGCAAACAAGAAATCCTATTAGACACTGAACATTTGCTCACTAATTTCAGAAGTGCTCACTTTAATACGGTAGCTGAAAGGCTCAGATATATTTCCTGGAAGTACAATACAGTTAGGCATCCTTTCAAAGTTATATTTTACAGAAAATATCAGCCGATACATGATATTTTCAGTAAAACTAAAAATTAAATATATCATTGAACATCTGTTACCAATACAGCCTGAGTATTTAAATACTTAAAAATCCCTGAAATGTTCATAAAGCTACATGCTACATAAATACAACTCTTTAAGACATGTGAAGGGCCAAATAAGTGAAAACATCTTTCTGCCTTTGCGCTCCTGCAAAGGGGACTTCAGAGCAAAGAAATGCATTTACTTTGAGTTTCAGGCTCTAATCTGAAAGCCTTTAAAAATCTATGTTGTAAGCATAATGTAATTTTTATATGAACAATGGGGTATTGCTTATCTTTTTCAAGATCGTCACTGTTCACAAGTATTTTCCTTCAAAGTGCTGTTGTCATATTGCTGTGTTCCTCTGGAGCACTAGTAGCAAAGAAAGAGACTCTGTGTGGTGGGTAAGGAAAAACCCCCGTCTGTCCAACACATGAGTCCATGGGAAGCCAGGGTGAACGTAGGAACGAGAAAGTAAATCTCTGGGTCACTGCAGAGCTTTGTGCCCGTCACAGACACGGCAATATCTTTATTGTCCTGCAGTTCTTGCTGTCTACGCCAACCAAAAGGTGACCAGGGGGATGCTGTCCTCAGGCCCAGGAGCTGGATGATGAACCTTTCAGATATAAGACATGCTGCCTCATATTTCCACTGGATTTTCTGCTTGCTTCTACTCGGTACGCAAGTCTCTCCCAGCTCCCTTTCCCTCATCCTCCCACAGGAGCTTTGCAGTCTGTCTCGGCATGTGCAGTCCAGCCGGCCTGTTTGCCACTTCTCCTACCTACAGTGAGTAATTCAGACGCATCTCCGAAGTGTATCGTCCTCCATCTACATGTAGCTCTTCCTTAAAATCTGGTACATCTGGAGGAAGTTGCAATTTGCAACCAACAGCGTTGAAGGTAGTGCCTGTAGGAGGATCTCAGTCCTGTCTGGGTGCCCAGGGGATTATCATAGAATCCCAGGATGGTTTGGGTTGGAAGGGACCTTAAAGATCATCAAGTTCCACCCCCTGCCATGGGCAGGGACACCTCCCACCAGCCCAGGGTGCCCAAAGCCTCATCCAGCCTGGCCTTGAACCCCTCCAGGGATGGGGCACCCACAGCTTCTCTGGGCAACCTGCGGCACTGCCTCGGGTGCCCAGGGGATTATCATAGAATCCCAGGATGGTTTGGGTTGGAAGGGACCTTAAAGATCATCAAGTTCCACCCCCTGCCATGGGCAGGGACACCTCCCACCAGCCCAGGGTGCCCAAAGCCTCATCCAGCCTGGCCTTGAACCCCTCCAGGGATGGGGCACCCACAGCTTCTCTGGGCAACCTGCGGCACTGCCTCACCCCCCGCACAGGAAAACATTTCTTCCCAATACGTAATGCTGTGCATCGTCGCCAGCCGCTGGCTGTGAGCAGCCCGGCAGCGATCTGAGGGGCAGAGGAGGCTGGGGACCTGACACAGTTCTGTCTTTGCCTCAGGAATCTATTTCTGTCTCGGTTACAAGCATCTGTGATTTGTTCCCGAGGGAAAGGGAGATGGAGACACGCTGTTTTCAGTGTCTTGGGGGAAAAAGGAGAAAAATTAGGTGTGTAGATTGGACTGAATCACTTCTGATTCCCACTCTATTTTCCAAGACTGATCTTTAAGAGCAAGACCTTGACCCTTCGGAGTGAAGTCTTGCACAGTATTGACTGGATGCTGCTCGGATCCCAGCTTATCAAGGAGCTGCACCTGAATAAGTCCATGTAATTGAGTGGGACTGTTTGAATGCATAAACTTCATTCCATCCATAGATCTGTGGACAGATAATTTGGAGAAGCGGGGTCGTTAGTCACCTTTCTCATCGGTCGGATAGCTTACACAGCGCTGTGCCTCTTGCAGCAATACTGAGAGAACACTGGGTTCAGTTCAGATTAGGAAGAGCAGAGCACCCATGTCTCTGCAGCCCACCAATCAGCTCTGGTCTTACAATTTGGTGAATGCTTCGAGGGATGCTGTGGGATGTGTTCTTCTGTATTCACATATGTGTCTTAAGATTTTTCCAGAGTGAACGTAGCATTTTCTATGTGCTATTTTCAAACAAGAGCCACAGTGTTTTCATTCACTTTCTTCCAATCTTATTTTGACAGAGGTTAGGGCCAGTTCTAGAGCCTGGAGATGTAGTTTTCAGGCCAGCACCAGTCCATCCCAGCAGCTGCCACGAGATGGCAGCTGGATAAGATCCTGTCTGCGATCGCTGCTGAAATAACCAATTCTATTGTGAATTTTCAAAGTCATCAAAGCAGCTCTCTTTTCAATGCCCAAGTTGCATTAATATTTTACTAATTGACATTTTTACAGTGTCATTCAAACACTTCTTTACAAATAGCAGGTCTGCTCTTTACAATAACGCAGACATCAGTACTAGACGCAGATAAAAGAGTTAAACCAGAGAAAGAAAAGCTATCATGTAGTAACTCTTTAAGGATTTATGTTTCCTTCCCTTCTCAAGTTTACATAAAAGCTGAAGCATTTTTATGGCAGCTGTAAAGACTTACACTATAATTGTGACTTTATTCACCTGAGATGTCTTTACCATGAAGCGCAGGCTCTTCAGCTGCACATGCTGATATCCCTTTGCGTTTGGGAATATCTATTGATATATTGCGAGGTGAGAGGTGCCAAACTGACAGAGCCAGCAGAGATGTCCACTGCCTGCTTCCAGAACAGGAGAACTCCGTAGCTGTGGTCTTCGCCCAGCTCCACCACAATGCCACTTGCACGTACTTTAATTTTAGTTACTAACATGGGATTCGTTGAGTAGCTCTTGCAGAACACACGTGCTATCCCATGCTTGGTATGGTTTGTCTGAAATCTCTACCAGGGTGTAATGAATTTGCCTTGTGCTAATGGCTTTTTATGTTGCCAGGCTGCATTTTTTAATGCTTTATCTGCTGTTAGATGCTTGACCCATTCTCTACACGTTGCCAGAACACAGCCCTTGTAGTGACTCAGATGCACTGCGGGCACAGTTGACGTCTTTGCGTAACCTCTGTGGTTTTTCCATCTCGGCCAGTTTATGGTCCACCTTTAAACTTGCCTCCTGCCCCTCTGTTCATGCATCAATGAAGCTTTAACTGAAATCCATCTAAAATCCAACCCAAATAAGGTTCAAGACACATGGGCCATTACTGATTTGTTGATATTTACGGAAATTAATGTAATGCTTCCACAGCATGGATAGTTTATAATTACTGTTCAGCCCACTGAAAAGGCTGGCACATACTGGCAAAGTACAAATTGATATGAAAGTTCCTTCCTGTCTTGCAGAAGTGATGATAAAGAATAAATTATTGAAGAAAATTAAGCATTATAATTGGGGAATATTCCCCTATTACCAAGTAAAGCCAGCCATTAGCATCCAATTTGCATTTTATACCATGCAGCAAGAAATATTTAAGTTGACAAATAGGATATTTAATACGGCAACAGATACTTGGCAGTTAGATATTAACAACTGTTACTGCTGTGATTTATTCACCATTATAAAAAGGGCATTACTATGTGCATATGATTCAGAAATTAACTCCAGTTTACCAAGAGGCCTTGCCTGCCTGACCCCTTAATATCCTTATAATGATGCCATTTACCATTCCAAGGCTTGTTCAAGTCATTCGCTGCGAGATTTGTTTTAAAGGGGTGCACTGTAGGGCAGATCTTTGTGCGCGTTAACATTTCTCACTGACGTAGCGGGCACAAGCACTTTTTTAAGTGGGGAGAAACTCACGGGTAAAACCACGTGAATGAGCACCACGAAGCAGTGGTGTGCGTGGAAGCAGAACCACACCACAAGCTGTAGGGTTTTCTGCGTGCTATCCCCCCTTTGATAAGGCCACATATTGCAATGGGAATGGGCTTTGCTCAACCCTGTGATGACCGATACGTGTTCTTACACGTGGATTCCACACTTCCCTCATCCTTTTACTCAGTTTATTTTGCCTTCTGGAACTTCCCTTTTTCTATCTCAAAATAGCTATTTGTAATTCCAGGTTGACTTTGTTTGACCTTAATTATTCTTCAGCTGAGAAATCCAGGTGTGATATTTAGTATTTAGATAATTACCTAGTTAATGTGATCCAGGCTTTACAGCTGTTGAGCTCATCAGCTGGTTTGTCCTCAGGCTTTTGAGTTTAAAACTTTACTTATCAAGTTCTGTAAGAATTCTGATTGTTCCCATTTGGAGGTGGTTTGTTGCTGTCAGTGATGCACCAGCACAAGGAAACTGTAAGTATGTATACAAACATGCATGAAAATAAAGGCATAGATGTTCCTTTACATGATTTCTGAGTTTCACCCTTCTTGTTCTCTTTTTTTTTTTTTAATTTTAACGTACCTCTTTGTGTTTTGCGTAGGTATGGGCAACAGACCTTGACCTCTGCTACAGCGACCAGCTGGCCTTGACTCAGCTCATGTTGTACGTGACAGATGGACATCTGGATTGTCGATCCAGCCACTTTGAAGTATCTCTGGGTTCAAACAAAAAGAAAAGCCAACGTATTTGGCACGAGGAGACTAAAACTGTAAGCAGTGATTTGTTTACAAATAAAATTATTAGTGTAAATTACCAGAAAGTTAAAATCTGTCCTAGGTCACTGTTCTAGAGAAGCTGAGTCCACTCCTTTCAGATTTTAAACTGCTACTTTTAGATTTTACAAGGTTAATGAAGTAAACGGGATAGCTAACCAAGCACTCTGACTGAGGCGAGTTCCCTGAGCAGGAGTATGCGATCGTATTCACTCCTACTCGCTCCCTCTGGACGAGAGTTACAAAGCCCAAGGGGAAGAGGCACCTGTTTGCAACACCGAGCAGGAGAGCCAAAGTCCCCCCGCTCAGTCTTTCCGTTTTCTGTTGCCAGGTCAGGTTCATCCACACTTGGTGTCACGTGCTGTGAATTCACGTGGGCTTGGCTCTCCGTGGGTGTTGCACACAAAGCCGAGGTGCTCGGGATCGCAGGTTTAGGTACCGAAATGATGAGTGCTGCGGCACTTGCTCCTTGCGGATCTCACCTTTAATCTCTCTGAAAACTCCCAAAATTGTGCCCAGAACTATGCCTCCCAGGAATGCAATTTTAAATTAGATTATATTTGTGTATGGCTTTGAAATCCTTATAAACACACTGTCACAGAAGCATGGTTAACATAGGATTTGTTTATTACGCTGATTTTTTTATATTAGATCAGCCTTGGTGCAGGATTTACCGTGGCTCTGAACCTTGAGACTGTCCTTCTAAAAAGGAAGAAAGGGCGTTAGGAAAGTCAGAGAATAAGAACTGTATGGATACACATAGAGAAATAAAACAGATGCTGTTTTACCCGTTTTGACAGAAGATTCACGACTCCCTTTTTTTCATCCATAGAGGAGGAATGTAGCACCATTCCAAAAATGTCATGGAGCTATAATTTAGAGGTTAATGAGCTCTTGATCTATTGTTCTTGTCAAGCAACCACTTTTAGTTGGAGAGAAGTAAATGAGATATGATTAGTCCCAGTAGTACAAGTTTTAGAAATGAAAAGTAATCAAGTAGAAACTTTTTTTTTAATTAAAATTCTGTCAGAATTAACATAAATTGTCATTATATCCTTTATTTTTCTTCTTTCTGTTTTTCTGAGGTTTTTATCTCCTTAAGAGTTAACTACAAAAACACACTCAGGAAAATATATTTAGAAAAAGAAACAAACAAACCAAGAGACAAATGCTTTTACAGCACATGATCTGTAATGAATGATTAAGTAAAACACTTTGTGTAAAATTATGATGTTAATAATGATTCTGTCCCTTTGAATTTATTATATATTCTCAATCCTGGTAGGTTTGATTTTGATAAAATGGAGCAGCAACTGAGTTTGTGTGATGATTTTATTTTTAGAAATCCTTCTTTGAAAGAACAAATTTCCTAGATACTGCTGCTACTGTAATTATGTACAAAACCAATCACTCATTATAGTTAGGATACATTATCTTCTAGACAGATGAGGCTAAATAAGCAACACATTAATAATTCATACCGCAGTTCATTATGCATGTGTATGCATGCTTTGTAGCTGAAATAAGCACCTCATCAACCTGATGCCAACCCTTAAACAATAGTTCTGTGTTATTGGAGCCACATTCAAGTTTACGCTTGTTAAACTGCTACTTGGATTATTTTATCAAGCATTCATTTATTTGTGGTCCCCTACTGCAGAGAACAGATTTTGGAAGCTCCTTTTTTAAGTTAATGACTTGAGCAATGGGTGTTATTAATTCTCAGAATATTATAAACATGATTAATTTTCAGGCAGAGATGTATTATATAAGGATTTCAACTATGTCAACTTAAATGAGTCAATGTCAAAACAAATATCATTTTAGAAAAAATATTGTAAATTATGCGCTTCAACGTGCAGTATCCCCACTCTGAACACAGTCCAGTATGAAAAATAACACCACTGGGAAGCCCTGGTTTAGGAGAACATCTCTGTTCAGTTCTACTCACTGCAACATCTCTCTTCCTTTGTCCTAAGCACTGATAAGAGTTCAAATGCAGTCCTGATTTTTAATCACAGCATGAACTCCACTGGTATCAGTTGTAGAGCTCCTTGGAGTCACAGGGCCTCGCCTCCTCAAAGACTTGCTGGAAAAACTCTTCACACTAATGCTGTAGCAGAATGCTCAGTCTTGGAGAAACCCAGTTTCAAAACCTACCGGTTGTCTGCACTGCAATTTCTGCTGAGGAGAAGAGTTGACTCTAGAACAATGTATGCTTCCAGAAGGCAGGATGGATTCAGAGGATCCACCTGGAAGGATTTCAGAGGGCTCAGTTACCTGTGAAGCTGTGAAAATATTAAAATGTGGTTCATAAAGAGTGATTCTGTGGACCTGATCTATAATGTAAGGTTTTATGGACAGCATGAGCTGAGGATTTAATTTTGCTGCATGGAAATGTCTGTGTTCCATAGACATTGTGATGAACAGGAATTCCTCCAAAAGGAGTCCTACTCCACACTTAGATGAGTTTGCTGAGAAGAAGCTATTTAATTAGTAAATTGTTGGTTTCTCATCTAAACTGGTATGAGAATAAAGACTCCTGTGTTGTTTTCTCTAGCCTTCTCCAACAAGCAACCGCTGTGCAGTAGCAAGCAGTCAACTGAGGCACTCCAGCCTTTCAGTGATCTACTATAACGTTCTCCTCCAGATGTGTAAGGATCGTGGTGTTGGATTTGACCTCCAGGTATGGATGGGGAAGATGAGAAAATGTGTTACTCACTCTGCATCATTTTTGTATGTAAATTCTAATACAGTGAAGCCTCTTAGCACAATGTAAAGTTTAAGTGTTCTGTTAAAAACACAGCAAGGTGTTGCTCTACAGTTTTGTTGAAAAGGACTTGGTATAAATCAGAATTGATTGTATTTTAAATTGTTTTCATGATGCTAATTAATGAACTGGGAATTGCATAAAGGTCTCCAGTAGTTCCTGTAAATATCAGTCTAATATAACACTTACCTGTCAGCTTACTTTAGCTGGGGTGTAAGTCTTGAAGAACTGCAGATATCTGTCTGATTTGGCTTAAGACTGGAAGCAGCGAAGGTTGGAGACTATTACAAGTTTTTGTTACACAACAGGGAGTGAGATGGTGTCTCTCAGAGACTACAGAGAGAACGCTGTCCCAGTGGGTTTGTTCATGCAGCTCTGTGGGCAAAAAGGATTACAGCTGTCAGCCAGGAGCTGTGCTCAGGTTTAGAGCCATCCTGGCACAGAGTTTTCAGGAGAGCACTCAGCCATCATATGGCCCTTACACACCGCTGGACCTGTAAGATAAGATATACCTTCAGAGGCCAATGGAGAACTGAAAGAGGAATGGAGAAAATAAAATGCAATCTTTGTTAGGAAAGGAAGCGCTTAAGGCTTATGAGTGGATTTGTAAAGGATGACATGGAAAAGAGTTTGGAAGACGTTACATAAGACAGAACAGCAGATAGAGGTTTCCATTGAGGCACAGGGCTTCCCTGGGAAATGCGGAGGTTTACGTGTTTTCTCAGCATAAACCCTCCGCAGGGATGGCACCTGCTCATGGCACCTCTCCCAGTCACACATGATAACTGTTGCTTAGCGCATCTGAAAATCAGAGCGTGAGATTTGCTGCTGACCAAACTGTCACCAGTATCAGGCCTGTGATGAACCAGAGCAGAAGGTTAATGAAAGTAATATCTAAGGTGAAGTATAAACTTTAAAAACAGGAAAAACTGAACATATTTTCACTGTCTTTCAGTTTAAGTGTGTGTAAGGCTTTTAGGGGTCAACTTGTCTCTTGATAAAAATAACTGCGAAAAGAGGTAACTTTTAAGGTACTTATGACCATCTCTTACTGCTTTGGAACAAGAATATTTGCTATGAATAGCCTCTGCCATGTGTATTCTCTTCACATAAAGTTAATGTATTCTTTACAATAAGAGCAATAATCTACTTACACTGAGCAATAATCCGTTACACACAATGCAAAACCAGCCTTTCTTAGATGTGGTGATGTACTTACTGTACCTGTATAATACATCTATTATGATTGTCACTATTTTAGGAATAATTAAAGCAACTTTGTCTTTTTATTTAACAGGAAAAACAGGGAACAGTTTTTATATTGTACGAAGATCAGAAGCGATACAGATTGGGAATGATGTAAGTACAGTTCCACAGTCTGATACACAGTTGGGAACGTGATCTGCAGAGGGTGACACCACAGTGCAGGCTGGCCCGGGCTCTGACAGACATCATGAAGGAAATGAACCATCTGACCACCACGCACTCAAGTTCCCTGTCACTTACTGCTCAGAAAAATACAATGACTTCTTGTAAGATTGGCCTTTTGAAAAGTTTTAGGGAGGCTTTAAGCATTTTAGTCATGAAAAACCTGCTCAGATCAAAGCCTGACTGCATTGCAGACTAAAGACCTGCTGCAATTAGCTTTACAAGACCCAGATTCCCTGTCAATAGCTGTGAGAGCACAGGGATTAGCACAGGCTTTCTTTTACAGGCAGCGTTATTAAAAACCTAACTATACATGACGCAAAAACGGTTGAAGTTTAATGCCTTCATATCTTGTTCTTCACAAAGTGATTGATGGCAGTCAGGCAGCAGCAGATCTGAGAGTTCAGTAATTCTTTAGACATACGAACCTCTCCCAAAAAGTCGGAGAAAGCATGATCTGCACAAATCTGCTATACACCGGTTGAAAACCTCTCCTCCTCGGAGAAAATTTACGTAAAGTTTACTGCCAAAATAGGAACGTAATGAGTGGGGGGCTGAAATGGTCTGTTGTCAGTCTGTTCTGTATTCCTTTGACTCTGGAGCTATTTCATGAACAACCTGGATAAGAAAACAAGTGCTGGATGTGACTGCAAGTACGTTGAAGGACAGAAATAAAATTCAAAATTATTTCAACAAATTGAAGAAACAATATGAAAAACATAATTATGTTCAATTGGAACCAGGTGCAAGAAGTGACACTTAGATAGCAGTAATGAATATGAGGAACAACTAGCTTTGCAGAAAAGGATCTGTGAGTTACAGTGACTTACAAACTGCCTGCAAGTCGTGATGTCATGAGCTTATGGAAAAAGGTAAACAATACAACCTGGGAGACACTGGAAGTGATCCTCCCATTCTGCTCAGACGGAGGCAGTGAAAATGTTTATAGAGTTCTAGAGCATGACTCTACAAGGCAAGACTAAAGGGGGCAGGGGAGGAGGCAGCAGTAAGATCTGATAACAACCTTCAAGCACATAAAAAGCTTCTCTGGGAAGGAAAAATCTAATTTCCGTGTCTTTGGTAGTAGAACAAGAAATGAACTTAACTTGCAGCAAGAAAGATTCATGTTTAGCATAAGAAAAAATTCTGATAGTAAGGGCCGTGAAGAACTAATTAGATCCTTCGGTGCAGTTGTCATTGACTGTTTAGTAACAAATTAGACAAAGCTCTGTCAGGATGATATAAGTAGCATTGATCCTGCCCTAGCACTGGGAATGGACTAAATGAATCCTAAAGATTGTTTCTAGGGCTATGATTCTTGCAGCCTGTGCTGAGCTCCTTGTGGATGAGGCCATTGCTGGCATACAAGTGAGTCAGATTTGTTTAAGGCGTAGATATTCCTACACTGGACTGCACTCACCTGTAGTCACGATGCAGACAAGTTACATGATTGAGCTGCAAGATACCTTTGAAAGAAAATCACTAAACAAGAATTAAAAAAATATCTACAGGAGCCATTTAAAAAGTGCTTTAGGAGGCATCTGAAAGCGTTCCATACGCTGCTAAACTCTCCTGACAGCCCTCTGATGCTGAAAGGCGAGCTCTTTCCTTCCCTGACCCCAGCCATGGAGTCCTCCTCCCTCCTGACCCTTCCTTTGCGTTGTCTCTGATACTTTAACACCTCTCCGGTTGGTTCAGCTCAGTAACCCAGCAGAAAGCTTTCTTTTATTGGAATATTCTTTTGTGAGGCTAAGATAGAATCAGTCCATAGCGGGGTATATAGCGAGCATGAAAGTTGTGTAATGGGAGGAACTGAAGAGAGGAGAAGGACCTGCCCTCTTCAGAGTCCGTGGACTGCTGGGCTGTGGCTTGTCCCTGTTTGTGTGATGTCACTTTGTCACGTACCTTGGAAAATGGAGTCCTTGGGATAGAGATACTGCATCCTACCTACATTCTTGCTAACTCCTTTGGAACAACACATTGGTAGTTGCTCTCCCTGTAAGAAACAGAACAATACCTCTTGGATCTCCGCTTGAATTGTCAGTTATTAATATATTACCAGAATACTCTCAAATATATTTGTCATACATTCTGCTTTTCAATGCAACTTCATTATCTTATTCTTGAAAATATTTCCAAATTATAACAGTTGGAGCTTATAGAATCACTGAAATACATGAACCATCTCTGTGAACTATAATCAGTTTCACTACACTGGAGATCTACTGTCAGTGCCAGTCAGGAAATGAGGTTCACTCTTCCTCAGCATAATACCCCATTCCGTAAGGTCGTACGTATTGAGAATCAAAAGCTACAACAATCTCAGAAAAACTGATACTGCTGCAATTTCTCTTTCAGATGTCTTTTCACAAACTGTAAGAAGCAGCAACAGTTCTTCTGAACTAACCCAGGTGTTTGAAGTGTTCAGCTGTCTCAGTCCTAACTCAGTACTAGCCTTTTACTTGCAGTAGCTGAAGCCTTACTGCTTACTTCTGCTAACTTGATTAATAAAAATTATTTATTACACAAATCCTTTCTGTTGACAAGTTAAAATAGAGCCTCATCTTTCATATCTCCCTGAAGATTGCCACCTTGTGAGATTGAAAATACTCATTAAATTCCATCACCAGACAGGCACAAATGAGAGGGCGATTGTTTTTAAGCATGTGAAGGGAATCATTGGTAAACTCATTTGTTTGGATATCATTAACAGAACAATCGGAGAGGATCTCCAGGGGGTCCTCATGACCTTTGCTCACAATCTCTTCATCATCCATCAAGAAATATCAGCACCTAATATGCAAGGCGAGACCAATTTTAAGGTGAGGTGTTAATTAACTAACGATCCTGGTTAATTTCTGTACAAGGGCTGAAAATACCTCATGCTGTATCATAAACAAGCGCTAAAGCATTCCTTTTTTATTGTTAGCGGTATGTATTTTACAGTGTCTAGGTCAATATAGTAAGTCTCCCAATGAACCCGTTAGTTAAATTTAAGTTTGAAACTTTTTCTTTGAAAAGAGATGTACTTTAGCGTGAAATTATTTGTAATGTAATGCTCCTGACTGTCCTCTGTAAGAGCAAAGGAGCTATTGGCAGTGCCTCAGACAGTTCTGTCACAATTGTCTGTTTTATTTTAAAGGCACACCATCAAGGTAGGAATCTTAAATGAGAAACAAACTTCTCAATTTATAATAGCTCCTTAGATTTTTAACACTGATTTCTTTTAATCCCGTAGTTCACATCTTTCACCCCGCCATCAATTTAATAAGTCAATTTTGTTCCAAATTTACTTTGCTCTTTGAATCTGCCCTCAGCGCCCATCCCCACGTGCCAGGGGATGCTCTGGGGTGGTGCGGGGGGAGGCAGGACAAAGCGCGAGGGCCTCGTCACACTGGGAACGTTCCCCCAGGAGTACCCACCTTTCCTCAGAAGCTCCTTTGTGCCGACCTTGCCGGCAAAAGGAGACAGTAGAGCAATAATGAATCCAACACTGTGCCCTGAAACAAGCACTTATTACAGTGCTGCTTTTTGATTCCAGAGAATAGCTAAACTTCCCGGAGGGAGTTCTTTTGCTAAACAGTATCACCTTTAACTTTCTAAAAAGTTTCTAAGATCCTGTCTGTAAGCGTTTTGGAGAAAGGTGAAGGGGAGCACTGTGTTACAGATTTGTATCTTACATAATTTATATCGGATTCTTTCCAGTGTTAACTCTGACTGTATTTTCCTCTGACCGGTGGAGTGCAAAATGACAGTTTTAAATATATTAAATTTCAATGTGTTACAAAATAAACAAAACCCCCCTTTTTTTCAATATAAGGGAGTGAAAGGCAACCATTAAAAAAATATATAAAAAGGAACGCTTCTCATAGTGAGTTAACGTTGATTCACATTTGTGAAATAGAACACCTGTTAGTTAATTAGAAGTACAAATTGCAACAAATTGTATTTTTTATTTACCTGAGATTTGTATATATTCACTAATAATTCCCCCAACTGTCCCCAAAGTAATAGTAAGTGTAAGTGGTGCCTCATGTCCTGTGTAACACTGGTTACCTTTTCAAGGCAAGTACTACCAGCTGTGCATTTGGGCTGCTAGGTTTGATTATAATGCCCATTAAATAAATTGTATTCCTTGAATCTGTTACAGATGGCAATTCAAGATATTGAAGCAATTCTAAGAATTACAGCAGAAAACAAACTGAAATTGGAAGAGGAGCAACCTTCGAAAGCAGATGCTCTGAAAGAATAGTTAACGGAAAATGTTTAAGTGCCTTATTCTTTATGCTTCTGGAAACACTTTCTCATCTGTAAGAACAGGTTTGGTTTTCCTTCTGCATTGCCATGTGAAGTAATATTGAGACAGTACATTTCCAGAGTTTTCATGGTGTTTAGAATACCCCTTCTTTCACAAAAACAAACTGTTGAAAAGCAGAGGATTATGATAAACGCCCCCGATGTTCATCCTGTTGTTCCTGAAGTACAGTATCTGTTTTTAAAATCTTATTAATAGGGATCACACTGTCTTTGTCACTAAATCAGACTGGATCATACTCTGTTGTCAAGAGTCCTGTGACCCTAAATTCCCTTTCAAACCTATTGTCTTCTAAAATACAGGCTTCCAACATGAAAGTAGGTCCAGTGTTCTGCCTCTAAATAAATACATGTAAATGCCATCTTATCAGTAAGGCCAGCAGCAGATTCCTCTTCAGAACTGACTGGCCTTGTTTTTGTCATTTCTTTTGTTATCTACAGATTTTTGCAGCAGTTGTTTTATGTTCACTTTCAAATTATCAGAAATAATAGTAATGGCACTGGTTCAACAATGGATTCCAAGAGGACCATTAGACTCATATTCGTACTATGATTCCCAGCATACCATGGCTTTTGCAGATCGGTACATCAGATACATTCTGTATTTGAGATACTGCTGACTTGTTTTTGTCTGAATTGCTGTGTAACAGAGGTCTTTTTGGCTGTGGTATGTACAACAATGATCACTCGCCAAGAAATCAGACACCAAAAAGCACAGTATAGTTGCTTATTAGTTCTTCCATCAAGATGAGATACATTTGTTCTTTGTTCTTCTTTGAAGGGCTGTAGAACAACATGTTCTGACTTTTCCTCACCGCATTTATAATGCATTCCCTCCCATTTTACTGCTAAGCAGCTCTTTGTAGATTTCTCACCTAGCTCCTTCTCCAAGCTCCTTCTCGTGTCCCAGTTTGGTCAGCAGAAGCAGTATCCTGGGGGAAAAGGAGGCACAGGAGGGCCTGGCAGTATCAGCCTCGGAGTCAGCTAGTTTCTTAAGGGTTAAGGAAAATTAAGCTTTGATCCAAGCCAGAACAACATAAGGTCTGAGAGGCTCATTAGTTCACTGGCACTTAATAGACTGCAGTGTCCTAGGAGTAAATGAAACCTGCACTTCCTTATGTCTTTGTTCTATTCTGACAAAAGAAAACTGTACCTGTTTTTTTTGCAAGGAACAAGTGATCTGAAAGTTCACATGGTGAGAGAGATTTCTCAGTATGTGCAAAGTGTGAAATGTATTTTGAGGAAAAAAAGTTTTTAATTACTATTAACACTTCCAAGCGTTGAGCTGATGGAAGGATTGAAACTGCTTGACAGTCTCTCACATTGAAACTCCCATGCTGCTGGTGCCAAAAATGTAATTTTTTTTAGAAATACAGCAGATATAAAATGCAATGATAATCTTAAAAAAAAAAAAAAGTCAGAAATATAGTCACGATACTCCTGTTCACACTACTAGATTATTTATTCGCACTCACTGAAGAAATAATAGTCTTGAACTGTAGCTTGAATTTTAGCACTATTTGGAACACAATCTAAACTGGGAAGAAAACAGAGAAAGTGGGAATCGAAAAATAAAAGGTGGCCCAGGTGTTGCTGCTCATCAGAAATTGCCACAGAATTCTGCAGCTAGCAACAGCAAAAGCCCAAGCTTGATCCCCAGCTGCAAGGTGTAGCAGAATGCTTGTGGAAGGAGATGAGGGGCAGTGGGGTTTGGAATCAACTGCAGAAGATGCAGACAATTAAAATAAAGGTTTTGTGCTCCTGATGGGCCAGAGCTGCAACTGAAGATGTGCATTCAGCTGACAGCACTTCATGGATCTTGTTTCTACAAAAATTGACATACTGTCTTTAGCACAGGTGCTACCCATTTCAGGTCACTGTCCTGTGAGAACATTACCTGGAGCTGATACTGGAAACTGATTTTAGATATTTGGGTTTAAAGCCCTGCGCAAAGAAAAAAAAAAAAAAAAAAAAAAAAGGACATACAGCCCCATTTGCCACATTTAGAATGACAACTCTGGGCACAGAGCAAAAAGGAGTTCATCAGCACAACCCCTTTCCAGATGTCTTCTGGAATAAAGTCTTCACTCTGCCCATTTCTTCAAAGATCTCTGATATCTCATCCAAACACTTCAGGAGTACCACATTCCATCTAGGTTAAGGTGACAAATCCCTGGAATTTTAAGACTAACCCAGTCCTCAACATTTCAGTGATTACCTAATGTCACTTCCCATTTAACGCACTCCCTCTTAGGGTATATGGATTCTCTGTATTTCACTTTGGACTACAGATTTTGTTACAGCAATCAGGCACCAAAGATGAGGTGCAACATCATTCATGAATGTAATTTAATATATCATCTCAACTGAAGGATGGTTAGACTGGTTTACATCACAAAGATGTGCATTTCAGCAAACTTTTTGGATGTAAAAACGACCAGACTATACCAGAATTCAGTGAACACAGAGACCTGAACTGTGCAACCAAATCTTATTAACAGAAGATATTTGGAAGAATGCTTCATAGTACTTCCAGCCTCATCTGTAAGATGTTTGGTCATGATTGTTCCATACTTTTCAAGTATGCAATGGTTTCCTTGAGGCATTTGTAAATACAGATGCTACTTCATTCTCTCTGTAGTACATCCTGTGCAAGCAGAGGTGTGTCTATGTTCTCTTAACCAGTGCGAGGTTATGCTGTCACAGGCTGAAGGATTTCTCCCTTCTTCCTGCGCAATAAGAGCAACACAAACTTAACTGTAAAATATCTTGAAATAAATATTTTCAAAAATCAAAGTAATTGTCATCTGGCCACTTTATAGGCAGTAATTTTGACCATGAAATGTAACAGCAGAATCTCTCTCTTTAGGGGCAAATACATTGGTTCAGTCCTTCACCATAGTGAGCCACAGTATGAGATTCCTACTTCTTTTTTATCCTCTAAAAAAGAAAGATATTAAAGCTAACTATATGCTCTGTTCATTATAGGAAGTTGAACTTGAGTCAGATTTGTCATTGACTATGATTAATAATTACTGGGTCTATGCACATGTAGTACATTATGGTAAATAAACAGGGCACATTGTTGGGTAGTAATTGATTAATTAGCACATTCATACTGCAGAGCTCCCTGGTTTAAGATTGCTGAGTTTGAGATACTGCTCACAGCTATTAAAAGGAAAAATCTGCTGCCAGTTCTGTTTTCTCTCCTGTAAAGTCTTCTCTTCTCAAATAGAATGTTTAATTGTTCAAAACCGTAGCTTTTATTTTTAGAAAATCATATTAGGATGATGATTTTAAAGTATTTCTCTTCAAAGGGGTCTAACACTTTCAATGAACTGTTTTTAACCTGACATTGTTGTGAAATTTCGCCAATTTAACACATTTTTTTCCCCGAGCACGCGCTAACCTGGCTGATGCTGCAGCTGAGACACACCAACACCTCAGGGAGCTCCCGCCAGCACGCAGGCTGTAAACAAAACCCCTTCTAAAGAGACAATTGCCCGATTCTTTGCGATGTTCTCCCTCGCCTCCCGGATGACCC